ATATTCAGTATATGAATGATGTCATACTGACATTTTCCTTTATTATTTCAAATATAGATGGAGCTGGAATCATCTATAGACTGTGATGCAAATATTGAAAAATCCGTCCATGGAAGCAAAGAATGACTTAGTCACAACACATATATTTTTAAAATATACTTAATATATTAAATTATACAAAATAAATTGTTTTTATGGTACAGTATACTGTAAAGATCAATTTACTTTTATTAGATATTAGATGTCATGGGACACTCTTATGTAGTATCAGAGTGTGTCCTGTATATGTGAACAGTAACTTCTTCCTGTTGTACTTCATGAGTCACAATGTAGTAGATTACCCTGAGTTCAGAGCTTAGCAATTATAACGAAGATGAAGCTCTCTTTTAAGGAGCGAAGTCAAACAAATTGAAGAAAAACTGTCATGTTTAGAGGAATTTATCTTTAGAGATAAACAAATGCAGAAAGGAGCATTCACATTTAAAGGTGTTTTGGAGATAATCAGTGTTCACATATGATTACGTGAACAGAACACACTGATTTTACTGTAGATTAACGAAAATTTGAATTGAGGGATGTTCATGTACATGATTTCGACAAAGTTATTTCATTGTATAAGGTGAGGAGGTAAAAATCTTTTGTTTTGTTAGCGACATCTATTTTTTAAGCCAAAGCGACTTTTAATTTGAAAATCAAATGTTCAATTATTGTCTTTCTGGGGTAGACAAATTGAGTTAGTTGAAATTGTAATTATTTTAGAGACAATAATAAATTTTGGCCTTCTTTTGTTGACCTGTGAGATTGAAATACTGCTGGTTTGTGTAAGTTTCAACTGTGCAACTCTTCATAGAACTAAATGCAAGTTTACCAGACCCGTAGCCAGGATTTGCCAAGGGGGTTCAATTTTCAAAAATATCCAGGGGATACACATTTGACAATTTTGGCCGAAATATGGCTAAAATCACTTGAGAATTGCTCAAAATGGTGAAAAACTGCATGATTTTGAAATAATTTTTGGCCAGGGGGGGGGGGGGGTTCGCCCGAACCTTGTGAACCCCCCTGGCTACGGGCCTGTCTACTTTATCTATTTTTATATGCAAATATCTCAGTTCATGTTCTGCTATTGTATGGCTTGAGTTATATACAAAACTGGTGACACTGTTATAGCCACCATTTTTGTGATCTGTATCTGTGACAAACGTTACATTTGTCTAAGTGGCAACATTTGTAATGTTAATGCCTTGTTACATGTAATGTCATGTAAACGAGTTAAACTGGAATTGAATTGATAATATAACCGATGAAAAGCTAAAAGGTACATGCTTATTTGAAGGATTTGCTATTGTGTGATTACTTTCAATTATTAGAGTCTAGATCACTCTATGAACATCTTATATAGGACTAATAATCCCGTATTTAAAAGGTCAACCAATGAATATAAATTATGGTTATGTAAAGGTCTACTTAAGTCAGTGAATTATATTTTGCTCAATTTGATATGCAATTAAGACTTGCATATTTATATCAGTTTGTTTTACCCTTTTTGGTATGCTCTGTGAAAAAGTTTTAAGTTTTGTAATTAGTAAAGAATTGGCACATTATTGCAATTATGTTGAGTGGGTGGGTAGAAATTAAGCTAAAAAAATGAAAAAGTAACAAGTGACCAGGCACTCAAATAGCCAGTAAAAGAACTGCAACTCTCCGTCCTAATATTTTATACATAGTATCTATTGTGAGGATGATTATTGAAATCGTTCCATTTATATTTTCTTGTATTTGCCATGTCTTTTAATTTAATATAAAATCACATGGCAAAGTGTAGTATATTTTGCCTACAGCCAGGGTATCCGTCTATGTATGAATTTATAACAATCAAATATTTTATTACATTGACCATTGTATTTTGTTATAAATGGAGTACAATACATATTGTGATGTTAGATAATCTAATTGTTGTTTTAATTGGTTTAATGAAAGACTAGAGGAGGAAAATACACAGAGATCAATTTCTATGAAGTTACCGATCCTTAGATCTGAATGAGTTTAAAATTGTATCAATGGAGGAATTAACATTCACACATAGCTAGGCAAGCTGTGTCTGATTCCAGCCAATCCCATCAGAGTATTCACATAATGAACAGTGTGTGAATATCAAGAACACATTTGTTGTGTACAGTTGCTAAGCGATTAAGATTGAAATTGAGTTTTCCAATACTTGATCCTTGCAAAAAGTTTTGTTGAAAATATGCTCTTTTAGTGATTTTGTATCTTTTAGGCGATTTTATAGAAAATATTTTGTAATGTGTGAAAAGAATTTAAGCCCAATACTCAATGCATTGTGGCTGCTTCATTCCACTCAGATGTTGTTTCCTAAACTTTGCATTCTCCTGCTGCATGCAAAGATTTGGAAACAACATCTTTGTGGAATGGTTCAGCACACATTAAGCACCGAGTCCAAGGCTTAAATCTTTAAATAATGCTTCAATGATGACACTGAACCCAAATGGCTCATTTAATCATTGTTCCTTTTCAGATAAAGATCTATGGTAAATGCAATATTTATTATTAACTTGTCCATCTTTATGTTCGGAACAATGGACCTCAGATTATTGCTTAAAAAACAAATCCCATATGAGTGAAATTGATCAGGGAGGTGGAGGGGAGTCCAGGGTCTTTTAAGTATGACTACCCATAAATTAGGGTCTAATGTTTTCAAAAACCAAAGTACCCATAAAGTTAAAATATTGTTTTCAAACAAAATGCCTATAAAATTAAGGTATTGTTTTCAAAAACCAAAATGCCCATAAAATTTAGGGTCTTGTTTTAAAAAAAACCAAATACCAATCTTAAGGTAGTGTATTATAAACCAAATGACCTTAAAATTAAGGTCTTGTTTTCAAAAACAAAAATACCCATTTTAAGGTATTGGTTTCAAAAACCATAATGCCCATAAAATTAAGGTATTGTTTTTAAAAACCAAATGCCCACAAAATTAAAAGGTATTGTTTTCAAAAAACCAAATGCCCACAAAATTAAAAGGTATTGTTTTCAAAACCAAATGCCCACAAAATTTAACGGTATTGTTTTCAAAAATCAAATGTCCATAAAATTAAAAGGTATTGTTTTCAAAAACCAAATGCCCACAAAATTTAAAGGTATTGTTTTCAAAAATCAAATGCCCATAAAATTAAAAGGGATTGTTTTCAAAAAACCAAATGCCCATAAAATTAAGATATTGTTTTCAAAAGGCGCCCACAGAATTAAAAGGTATTGTTTTCAAAAACCAAATGCCCACAAAATTAAAAGGTATTACTTTCAAAAATCAAATGCCCATAAAATTAAAAGGTATTGTTTTTAAAAACCAAATGTCAATAAAATTAAGGTATTGTTTTCAAAAACCAAATGCCCACAAAAGTAAAAGGTACAGTATAATGTTTTTAAACACCAAATGCCCATAAAATTAAGTTATTGTTTTCAAAAACCAAATGCCCATAAAATTAAGGCCTTATTTTCAAGAACCAAAATCTATGAAAATATATTGTTTTAAAAATGGTAATTTCTCAACAAACCAAACAAAATCACAATTTTAGGTTTATCATGTTTATTCAATGTATATTTATCATTTTATTTAATATAAATTTCCTACATAAATACTTTCTACTTATGGGGCACAAAATACACATATTAGATCTTAGGGAACCCAGTATTTTAAATTCCAGAAACAAGTTTGTTCTTTCCTTAGACAAAGATATCCTGCCTGTGCGATTAGTATAGTATGGTGAACAATGGAGAAGAAAATTGGTTGGCTTAGATAAGAAAATACTATTTGTCTGGTTGTTTTTTCTCAAAAAACAGACCTCCCAGAATAACATCTTAATTTTGCATTATTTTGAATTTCTAGAAATGCCGCATAATTTATTCATCAGTGCATAATTTTTGCAAAATTTATACTTTTCTCAAAGAATATCTCACCTAATGTTTCACTGCTTCAACATATTCCTAATTAGAAGGTTAATAAATAATAATAACAAAAACTCGAATCCAAAATGGAAATGACAATAAAAATCTGTCCCCCAGCATGGCCTCTGTCCTATTGTCTGAAGTAATCATACATACAAAGAATCATAAGAGGCAAGTAATCATACTAGACGCATCGAAAGCGTTTGACGTCATGTCTCAAGAATCTCTACTGAGGAAACTATACCTGGCTGGAATTAGGGGTGACAACTGGATGGTGGCCAAAGAACTGTACGTAAACGCTAGGTGCAAAATCAAATGGAACCCCTCCATCTCTAGCCCGTATCCAATTCTACAAGGAGTAAAACAAGGGGCTATCTGCTCCACTTTGCACTACAAGACGTACATAAACGACTTCCTGTTACATCTACAATAGAAGCACCATGGGCCCCATATAGCCCATATTAAGATACCCCACATTTCTTGTGCTGATGATGTTCTCCTCCTTAGTACAAATGAACATGAGATGCAAACCATGCCACATGATGCATTCTATTTCTCGAGCAAAGAACGTTACCATCTTAACTCCTCTAAAACCAACTTTTTAACAATCAACAAGCCCAAACCCGATTTCAACTTCAAACTCGGGATGTCTGACATTACCGAAACTCCAACTGTTGAACATCTTGGGATGACAAGAGACAACAAAGGCAGAAGCATTGATGTTGACCTGAGAATAAGCACTGCAAGGAATACCATGTATGCACTCATGGGAGCCAGCCTCCACGGCCACAATGGTCTCTCCATTCAGGCCTCCATAAAACTCTGGTCCATTTATGTCCTACCTAGACTCACCTATGGTCTGGAAACACTGATCCTTCACAAGACAGACATGGAAAAACTGAACTGTTTCCAAAGGAAGACCCTCCGACAACTACAGGGTATTCCCGAAAGAACTCCAAACGCAGCCACCCTACTCCTCACTGGTCAAATTCCCATTGCTGCTACCATTGACAAACTAGCCCTTAAGCTTGCATGTAGCATCTTTAGATTAGACAATAGTACCCCACTAAAGCAAATTGCAATCCATCAAACACTCCAACTAGAAACCAATACTCCATCATGGTTCAATGCCATACGCAAAACCCTCTGGAAATATGATCTACCGTCAATTTTTACCCTGTTAGAAAATCCACCCCCGAAAGATGAATGGAGCAAATCTGTCAACAAGGCTGTGAACATCAGATGTATGCAAGACCTCATAACCGAAGCTAAAACAAAGCCCACTCTCAAATACCTATGTACAGTAAAACCTGTATATCTGAACACCTGGCTAATCCGAACACCTTCCAATTTGAACACTTTTTTTCGGTCCCATTTTTTCCTCCCATTGACTCCCATGTTAAAAAAACCTTAAAATCTGAACACCTCCTAATTTGAACAGTGAACAACCAGATTTGAAAAAGTGACCTGTCTAATCTGAACATTTTTATCAGAAATCAAATGTCTGGACATTTCAATTAAAGCCACATATTGAGTTAATGTTAAAGTTGTTATTTATCTTTACATATATACAAATGTAATCAAAGAACCAATTGTCCTAATTAACTTATTTAGTCTCTGTGACATCCCTAATTTGTGGAAAACAACAGGATGTTTTGGAAAGGTGTGAATACAGGAGTTAATTGGTTTATCCTATTAGAAAAGAACTGAATGTTTTATTTTTGGATTTTGAGAAAGGTGTGAATCAAGAAGATAATTGATTTATCATTATTGGAAATTACCTGGATGTTTTTGATTTGGATTAAGAGAAAGGTGAGAGTCTGGGAGATAATTGGTTTATCCTTATTGTAAATTAACTGGATGTTTTTTATTTGGATTATGAACAGGTCTTAACTGTTTCATATCCCATGGGTCTGTTATGATAGCTAAGATTCAATCAGTAAATGTTTTATAATCACAAAGACAACACAGACGCCATTTCGAGACACGATTATATCACGAGGAGAAAAAATTCAACTTCGTAATATTCGCATACATCTGACATCCTGAATGCCCTTGATATTTTGAAGGATTATACATCATCATATTGAATGAAAACTCATGAAAAATTATTTTTACTTGAAGAGGATATCTACTCAAATATTGCTAATGCTAAAAGTGCCAAGAAACAAACAACAATGAACAACGTTTTCAAGCTAAAGTAAAGCAGTGCTATATGACCATAATATGGGATAAGCCATTTGATAAGCATAAGATTTCGTACAAGACTATCATATACTTTTACAGTGTATTACAAAGTTTTTGCCAAAATATAAGAGTTATTTTTACTAAAATGATGAAATTGTTCAAAATATAAATAAAACATAGCATATAGGCTATAGGCCTATTGTAGAATTAACTCATCAATAACATGTATTGTTTTCTGACTTAGTATTAAGTGTTTAATATAGTGCACTGAATAATGAAAATCCCCCCCCCCCGACCAACAAAATCCTCGAAATTTGAACACCTGCCAATTTGAACGCTTTTGGCTGGTCCCATGTGTGTTCGGATTAGACAGGTTTTACTGTACACTGCAGTCAACTCCAGGATCCCTACATAGCTCATGGGCAAACAGCCACCTTAACCACCATGATACACTCAGAGCAACTGTAAAGGCACGACTAATGACTGGTACATACATCCTCCAGTCCAACAGAGCTGCTCTTAATCAGTATAGAGTCGACCCCACCTCTCAGTTGTGTCTTATCTCTTCAGAAACCCCAGCTCACTTTGTTACCAACTGTCCTGCATTATCAAAAACTAGAGCAAAACACCTCCAAACCCTAGAACACATCATTCCATCCCCCCTCTTCATAGCCATAACCCAAGACAATGACACTCTCACTCACATTACCATTGATCCCACCTATACCATCTCTACCCCAAGATATCCATCACAATAGAGGATCTGGAGCTCTGGGCAAGACAATACATATATGCACTACACACCAAACGTGCATTTATACTTGGACTCAATACAGTGACAAAAAGCCTAAAGAAGAGGCCAAAAACTAAGAAACACTTAAACTAGACTGCACAACAAGTGCTGCCGCAAACAAATAAGTTCGGGAAGAACAATACAACAAAAACAAGAAGGCTCTTAATTTCTTGAAGTATGGATTTTTGGAATTTTTGTCCTACCGCAATTGCAAAATTGCTGCATAATTTGTATTTTCCCCCGCATAATTTCAACTTTTTGCCTGCATAATTCTGGGAGGTCTGATAAACATTTCAAGATAAAGGGCAAACGTTTAGGTTCATAAATATGTAAAAGGCTTATCCCCTTATACCTTTTTTATACCATAGCTTTTTCTACTCTAAGTTCTACTTGTTCTAAATACTTGGAGATTACACATTGGAAATGATTGGCAAATCAATAAATTTGGTAAGCAACAAAGTTCCATTCTCTTAAAATTTTCCTTACAGATTCATCCCATAACAATCAGTAATAACAATTATAGAATCATTAGTCAATATGAGTAAATCATTAGTACTATAGATAAGATATATTGATATTACATTATATTGCTGTTATATGATAAATACCTAACATGTGATGTACCATATTCACTCTAATAAATGCACAAAACATCTCCCTTATTCTCTTGAAGGAGATGTCTCTGATCACAAAATTTTAGATATCTTTGGGCATGGCACTTCTATTATTTGGGGTCACCCTATCAATACTAATGTAACACTGGTACAATTTTGTACATGCAAACATCTCTTCACTAATCAAGTATATAAAATTGTTAAATAAATGTTTCTTTATAATTGTTTTAATATACTCTTTTCTATGGCATGAAAAACACTGCATTTGTTTTAAGATTTCTCATTTATTAAAATACAATATTTGTAAGGTAAGTATCTACATGACCCTCATGTATATCTGCGTCAGGATACCCTTATATCCAAAACCTCCAGGTACTAAACGCATGCTTATCCTATACTTAGTAGATTTACAAGTAAATAACATTAATATCTGAAGTGGGGTGAGATATATATATCTCCCACTGTATCTCCTGCTCAGCAATCTCCAGGAATTTCCATGCATGTTTGTACTGAACAATACAAACATTGTAAACAAAATTGCAGATGTTCAACAAATCTAGAGATTGCTGACATTCAACAATTTAGAAATGAAAATGTTGATTAATTTTTAAATCAAATGGAAAATACAGGCGTAACCCAACATTCAAAGCATAATCAATCCTCAGTATCTACTAAGTAGAGCATAAATCAGTTATGCTCAATTTGGATACAGGGTATACCTTGGGATATACAATATTGTATTTCCCTTGGGATATACCCTGTATCCAGAACCTCCCATTAAATAACCCTCATATACCATGGACTTTTATGGTCCTATTATAATTTCTCATGACAAAATTAGTTCTGACAGAAATAACTTTTGGCACAAATGAAGTACATTGCTTAATTGATTGAAAAGACATCATCCTAGGGGCCAGCTATACTTAAAATCACTCTCTGATATGTGAAACATCAATACCTATGATCAAAGATATGAAGTAATTCAATTTCAATTCCTGCAAATTCCTTAAGATCAAGCTGTCCATATTTGATGTTCTGTAGATACTGCAATCTGATCTTTGCATTTTATATATCCTATACTGCTTGTTATTGAACATTAGTACTTAAAAATACATAGTTCACAAATATCTAGTGATTTGTATTAATAATCCAGGATGTTATAGTCCTCAGTTTGTGAATTTCCTTAATTCCGATAACTGATATTGCATTATATTTTAGGGGCTGTCCCAAAGGTTTTGCACTTAATCACACACAATTGATAATTGCACACACAATTGATAATTGCAAGACGACACACCCGCACTTGTGTGATTTTTTCAAAATTTTAAAATGATTTTCACAATTTTGATTAGGGAAAGTCTCCAACACGAATGTACAGTATTAACATGTAGAATTTAGCGTGAAAATCATGAGGTGGCACCTTAAGTTATACAGAGTAGTCACATGTTTGTGCGCTTACTTTATACTCAATGATATACTCTGGGTAGCACTGTGCATTATCAAAGATAACGAAGATCTTAGGATTGTCTAGCCTATCCACGCAAGAGTCAAATGCTCGTCCATAGGGGTCGTTAACGTCCAAAGGGGGTGGTTTAACCATGCAGGGAGCTCCTAAGGCGCAGTTTCCAGTCAGAACACGAGCACAAAACATCTTACGTATATCCTCGTTTTGAGCTGGTGCAGGCTGAGAAGGTGTGGGTCTGGGTCTGGTTAAGAATGGGTCTTTTGCATGTCTCGAGAGAGGGTTAGGTGTTGTAGGTGCTGTTTTCTGTACAGTTCCCTTAGATTTTGGGTAATATCGCATTGGCCATGGGGGATCGCGTATCTGATGTGCATGCGGTGGATTGGATTTAGAAGAGTGGGCTGGGGGTGGAACTGGCTGTTGAGGTGTGGCCCCATGAGCTGACTGGGGGGCAGATGGGTTACCAGCTGGGGGTGGGTTGAGAAAAGGCCTTGGGGGTAAGTGAGCGGCATTGGTTGAGGCATGAGCTGGGGTGGTATTGATGGAGGGGGAGATTGTACTGGAAGATGGAGTAACACCAGAACCAGAGGCAGCAGTTATTCCCGATGCTAAACTACTGGGTGTGGATTGAAGTGATGCAGCTGTGGCACCAACAGCAGCATGAACAGCAGCAATGGCAGATGTTCTAGCCTTTGACAATTGTTCCATATGATGCATCCTAGAAAGATGGTGACGATTCCTTGTGGCATTAATGCTCCTGCCCAAACTCTGGCATCTACTGCTTGTGCAACCTGGGACCACTTTAACACCTTTTGCCTTCTTCCAGCCATTACACATACAGAAGGCAATGCCCATGGGGGCATTGCTAGATTGCTGCGGATTAGTTCCCGAAGCTCCTTGTGTACCACTATTGGGATTGAAAACATGGGCACTCAGAGAGTATGTCGGGTTTGGTGGAAAGTAGCCTTGTTGTGAACCACTACTCCTTGGATTTGTCCCATGTGCTGGGATATTAGATGTGGGGGTACCAACTTGTGATGCAGGGGCTCTGGTGGAGGTACTTGAGATAACTTGTGATTGGTTTGGCTGAGGACCTCCTATTGTTGAATGTGTAACACTACCAACCTTTAAACCTTTTATACTGACATGAACATTTGATGTACTGACGTGAAAATTCGATGAACTTGCATGAACATTTGATGTGTTTGGAAAATTCAAACCCGGAGGTGGATTAATATTCATTGCAGGTATTTGAATGTTCCTAGCTTGAGCCCAGAGGATCTTGGGAAAATTAGCCCCCTGCATGCTTATCATTCTGTGTTTGCTAGTTGGGAGATGACCTCTCCTGCCAGCCAAAGTATAAACATGGGAGTACTTGGCATCTCTTGCAAAGTAGGATCCTGCAAAAAACAAATATATACAGTATCAATGAAAATAAAGAGATAGTAAAGTTTGATTCTATATACATCTGATGACGATTTATTAAATTAAATGAGTCGATGAGCCAAGATAGCTTACTTTCTCTTCGAATAGACATTGCTATGACATTGTCGTTTTGAAGATTTGATAGGTTTTAATGAAAGCTGTTATCAAAATTACATGCATAGAGATTACATGATAACAAGGGTCAAGATATTGGGATTATCCCAGGGTAGGGTTATAGAATATATCTGCCCATTAGGACTGGAGCTAGGCCAAGAGATAACAGAAAGTCTGCCTTGACAAGACAATCAAAATTGAACTCATACACATACCTTTGCCATAGTTTGTCCCATTAGATCCACATACCCTCCAGTCAAAGTTTGTTTTACAAATTGGACCAATCAGATCATCTGTTGTGCCGTGAAACAACATACGTTCCATGATAGATTCTTTCCCATTGGTTTGTTCCATTTGAGTTTTCTTACTATAGGATATAAAACATTTTTATATCAATTTAATTCAATCATTAATAATATTTTATCAATGATACAGAATTCTCATCTTCACAATTCTGACCAGTTAAGTTTGAAACTTGAAAATCATTCTTATTATGAATCCTATGATGAAGTTTTGAAAAAAGAGACACATTCGACATGTACAAAATATCATATTGTTTTTTATTGGTTCAACCACACCCTTGTATGATGAATGGCCCTCAGCTTGCAATTTTGACTTTGCATAAGAATGGGGGATACCCCATGATTCATAGAAACATTAGGAACATGGTTTTCATGCCATTTTTAATCAATAGCAGTTGGTCAGTATTACAGAAATATTACTTTATCATTTCATTTTGAAAATGTATATTGTATTGTGTTTCGAATCAATGGCATTGCATCACTTATGTATTATGTAATCTTCTAAATAATCACAATCTACCATTTAACAAAGCAATCCTTTAAATTAAAGTAGAATGTGGTACAAAGCACATGCATTAACATGAGAAGGTGCTTAAACTTACACTGAAAAGAACTGCCAAACCATGTGGTTTTGTATACGTTTCACAGATATGATCTCCATGTCTGGGAAAGGCATAGTTGCATGGAAGTCCACGGCTAGCTGCTCATATTCAGGACACCCACCCTCAACATCCACAAGCACGTAATCCTACAAAAAGACACGATCACAATACAAATAGAAAATGAACACTTGAGAATGGCATAGTTGCATGGAAGTCCCGAGCAAGCTGCTGATATTTGGGACATCTTTAAATGGATTTCCAACCATACATTTTTATTCCACTACATATACAAACTTCACACTTCCAAATTCAAAATTTCTTTCACATTAGTATGTCACTTTAAAATTTACTATACCTTTAAAAGAGTAACAACCCAAAACCAAAGAGAACTCAATTAGCTTTACTTTATATCATAACTAGTGCAGTCAGAATGAGGGTTTGAGCGTGCGTTCAGAGGGATTTTATGGGACATATTTTTTTATGTTGCTTGTATGATTTTACATATTTTTATGGATTATTAGATCTTAGTTTTTCAGCTTTTAGATTTTGTGGCCATTTTACCCCCCATGGGCTATAATTTGGACCCCTACTATAAAATTGGGCTAGAACTCCAAGAATACTCAGTAGAATGTTTCCAAATTGCTATGGTATATTGGTATAGGCTAACTTAATATATGATAACAATTTCAAGTCACATGGTTAAGTGGTTGCCATGTTAATGGATAAAACATACCCTTCGGGTGTCAATTTTGAGGCCAATTTTTCAGGAATGAAAGAGTCATTTCGTGCATATTTTGTCACCAGTCTGTTAGGAAGGGTTAAAATGTGAATAGAAAACTTTTGTAATATGTCAGCAACAATCTTATGTAAAGATCAGTCCACAGAATCTCAGATTTTGGCCTTATATGGGTCCATGATTTATACAGGGGCCTGTTTCACAGATTCGAACCCCCACATTGGATGGATGCTATAACTTTTGAAATAAGGGAAATACAGTTCTCATTTTTTCAGATCTTCATAAATGACTGGTTTTAAGTATTGTATTATACTTTGGGCGCTGGCATATGATTGGTTGCCATGGTAACCTGGGTTTTAGGGAAATTCTGACCCCCACATTGGATGGATGCTATAACTTTCGAAATAAGGGTGATACATGTCTCATTTTTTCAGATCTTAGACAATGATTGATTTTAAGTATTCAATTAGACTTTGGGAGCTGAAACTTGATTGGTTACCATGGTAACTAGGGTTTTATTGAAATTTGGACCTCCACAATTGATAAATGCTATAACTTTTAAATTCAAGCAGATACAGATATCAGCTTTTCAGAACTTAAAAAATAATACGACTTGTGTATTGTGTCAGACTTTGGAGGTTACAATTTACTTGGTTGCCATGGTAACCATGTTTCATTGTCATGGAAACTTCATTTTTGATTTCAGATTTACCTTCATTTGAGAATGGTCAATACACAACTTTGAACACAAAATTGCTCAAAATTATCATTTTACTCCTAATTTAGCATTTTTACATGTATATCTGACAGTATTGCCTCATTCCATTCTACTAGTTCTCACACATATTCTACTAAGTTGTTTTTACTCATCATTTTAGCTATTTTTGACCATTCTGGTATTAAGAATTCCTCGGGGAATTCATAGTTCATTCATGCAGTGTTTGGCTTGGTAGAGCTGGGTTTAGGCTGGTGGGAATGTTTCCATACATAGGTTTGATAATTCACCCTCTTCAAATGTGAAAGAGTTGAAATGTCGACACCTTCATAAGTGAGGGCAGCACTGTTCTGTTTTTGAGAATACTAGTATCTCATGTGAAATAGCGGATCATAGTGGCAGTTATTTTTGTAATTCAGCTGTACTTTTGCAGGTGAACAATTTAACTTTGGATTTTATGGTCTCAGGAATTTCTATATTGTTTCCTATTGAAGAAAACAACTTTAAGAATTGTTTGTCTTCAGTTTCAGTTGATTTATTTTTCTTTTGTTCAGATCCAGTAACACGCGCATTGAAGGCTAATATAGCTTCACACAGTACGTCGTCCTAAGTTTGCAGCTACAGGTGTTTGGTTGAGCTTCTGACATCTAAAGGGACAGAGTTCACATAAGTTGGGGTTCTTAACATTGTCATCTTCATAATAGGAAACAATATAGAAATTCCTGACACAATAAAATCCAAAGTTGAATTGTTCACCTGCAAAAGTACAGCAGAATTACAAAAATACATTTTTTAACTGATATCAATAGATTATGATATGAGCTGGTTCACATGAGATATTCTCCAAAACAGAACAGTACTACCCTCACTTATGAAGGTGTTGACATTTCAACTCTTCCTGTCTTTCAAGATTGGTCCTTGACTGCTTTCATAGCAGCTAATGTAATGCAATGAATTACTTTGGAGCCAATGATGAACTCTCCCACCTTTGAAAAGGGTGAATGACAAATCCTATATGTGGAAGTGGAAACATTCCCACCAGTCTCCCAGGGAGTTCACTTTATATAAACCTTGAGGGGATCCTTGGCTCAGGTGGCTCAGGTGTACTTCAGACATTTGGAATGGCAATAGACCTAAATTTTAGGATCTGACATGAGAAATGAGAATGTCCTCCAAATTATGACTTGAGGTATGGCAATGGTCAGATTTTTACACTTACTGGTATGAGAATGGTCTTGGAAAATATGTTACCCCTCACTTGTAGTATGGCATTGATCTAGTATATATCCTTAATATGAGGTATATGAGGTTGTTTTTGGGTTGTTTTCCTGAAAGATCTGCCTTCTTCTTGGGGCATTAGACATTTTGAATGGCCATGTTTTTATATCTGGATATTTGATATCACATTGATCCTATATTTGGGCATTTGGTATGGCCTTTGGGTATTAATTTGGTTGGTATGGGAATACATTCAGATTGGTATTGGAACATATTGATATCTGAGGGTTCAGCCTAGGACCCCAGCCAAATTTTATATACAGTGAACCCCCAGGGACCAATCTTAACCCATTCTGCCATACTGCATGAATGTATGAAATCCCCTGAGGATCCTCCTCTCCAAAATGGTCAAAACAAGCCTTCATTCCAACAGAAACGGTTGATATTTAAATCAAAAGGCAATTGTGCAAAATGAAAAAGTAATGATGAGTACAAATGAACAAATTAGGAGTCAGAATATTTGTGAGAACTAGTGGTGTGGAATGAGGCAATATTGTGAGACATAAATGTACATGTATTGTTTACTAGTATTTAATATTTTATGAGCAGAACATTTTCTTGTATTAATGAGTCATGAGCATGTAAATCATATAAAATAGAAAAAATCCCCAAATTATGAATAAAATGGCAATTTGGTATTTCATATCATGTATTGACCTATCTAGAATGAAGGTGAATCTAAAAGCAAAAACGACAGTTACCATGACAATGAAACATAGTGACCATGGCAACCAAGTAAATCCTAGCTTCCAAAGTCTAATACAATAATAATACACATTTTATTATTATTTTAGATCTGAAAATATTATACTTGTATCTGCCTGTATTTAAAAGTTATAGCATGCAACAATTGTGGAGATCTGAATTTCAACAAAACCCTGGTTACCATGGTAACCAGTCTAATACAAGCTACCAAAGTCTGAATCAATCCTTAAAATCAATCATTGTCTAAGGCTTGAAAAAATGAGACACCTATATCCCTTATTTTAAAAATTGTAACATCCATCCAATGTGGGGGTCCGAATTTCCATGAAACCCTGGTTACCATAGCAACCAATCACATAACAGCTGCCAAAGTATTATACAATACTTAAAACCAGTCATTTATGAAGATCTGAAAAAATGAGACCTGTATTTCCCTTATTTCAAAAGTTATAGCATCTATCCAATGTGGGGGTTCGAATCTGTGAAATAGGCCCCTGTATAAATCATGGACCCATATAAGGCCAAAATCTGAGATCCTGTGGACTAATCTTTATATAAGATTGTTGGTAATATATTATAGAAGTTTTCTATTCATATTTTAACCCTTCCTAACACAATGATGATAAAATATGCATGAAATGACTCTATCATTTTTGAAAAAATGGCCTGAAAATCAACACCTGAAGGGTATGTTTTATCCGTTTTCATGGCAACCTTTTCACCATGTGACTTGAATTTTTTATCATATATTCAGTTAGCCTATACAAATATATCTTAGTAATTTGGATACATTCTACTGAGTATTTATGGAGTTCTAGCCCAATTTTATAGTAGGGGTCCAAATTATAGCCCATGGGGGGTAAAATGGCCACAAAATCTAAAAGCTGAAAAACTAAGGTCTAATAATCCATAAAAATATGTAAAGTCATACTAGCAACATGAAAAATTATGTCCCATAAAATCCCTCTGAACGCACGCCCAAACCCTCATTCTGACTGCACTAAACAGAGAATATTCATTAAAACAATCTAACCTTTGTTGTTTTAAGCATAGGGGCCCAATGACCTGGTAGGTTAGGTATGTATTGCTCCTCAGGTGGATTGTTCTCTGATGCATTCTGGGAGACATCTGGCACCTCCTTCTCCTCCGCACTCTGTACCAGGTAGGAAAGATAATCCAACTCCTTCCCTCCATTCTTCTCCTCAAGGATATCTACCACCATTGAGGGTAGGGTACGTCTCAGTTGGTCTAAAAATGTATGACAAATTAATCAAATGGGACTTCTCGAACATGCTGACCTTCAATGCCATCAAAGCCTTAGATGATTAACTCAAAATATAATACAAGGGATTAACATGCAAAATGCCACGACCTGCCATTTGTAATGTCCGCCATTACAGAGGCTATAACAGACACCGAACACCATCCACAAAAAGTTGGAGACTAGTGGTGACTAAATAAACTGAATTAAATAACAAAACATATCATATGCGGACTTAGAACATTCATCTGATTTTTATAATAAAATGCTTTAATATATGTAAACTTTTTATGTTTCTATGTATGTTTTTTTAGTTCTAATGTGGGATAATATTTGCAACTCAAATGAATATATGCTAAATGAAGGAGAATGAATAAATCAATGAATAAATGGATTTAAGAGAGTGAAATATTGCAAGATTAATACTTAATAATTAAGAAATATAGACCAAAGAGCATGGGTAATATTGTTGAATACACCCCGCAGGGCTAGGCACAAATTTTCTGTACCTCGAACGACCGAAGGGAGTGAGGGGTTCAAAAGCTTTTGTGCCTAGCCCTAAGGGGTGTATTTGACGGTGTTACCCCTGCTCTGAGGTCTATTTACGATTTGAACATGAAAACTCATCAAAATGCTTCAATAATCGTTTTGGTGTGCCATTACTACAGCTCTCAGTTATGACGTCACACATTACTCGTACCTCGAACGACCGAAGGGAGTGAGGGGTTCAAAAGCTTTTGTGCCTAGCCCTAAGGGGTGTATTTGACGGTGTTACCCCTGCTCTGAGGTCTATTTACGATTTGAACATGAAAACTCATCAAAATGCTTCAATAATCGTTTTGGTGTGCCATTACTACAGCTCTCAGTTATGACGTCACACATTACTCGTATCACCAGGGGTATTGTTCGAGAATATGCCCCTGGTGAAATGTTGACTTTGTTCACAGTTTATAGAAGGCGTGAATACACTCATGTTCGAATTAATAATAATGACAAAATGTCACCATCTTGTAAGTTATTAGAAAATATTTGTTACAGACACCGAACTCTGAACACGGACTGCAGAATGCCAACTGTCAAAAGCCGAGTGACTATCCACTAATGTTTTTGAAATGTTTTCTGCAAATAACAAAATCTTGGGCCGTCGGGTCTATTTTAAAAACATATATTTAACTTTGGATGGCCTTGTGATGACAATTGTTACATCTTTTGAATAATCGTGACTCACCTGTTGTGTAAACACTATTACAGGCCACAACAACACATGACACCCAGCCCTGAAATTAGAAATAATAACACATGACACCCAGCCCTGAAATTAGAAATAACAACACACGACACCCAGCCCTGAAATTAGAAATAACAACACATGACACCCAGCCCTGAAATTAGAATCAACAAGGTCTGAATTGATATTTTTTGAAATTACGAGTTTAAAATCAGTATAAAAACTGATATCAATTTAGAAATCCTGCTATTCTACCATTTTATCCCTTTAGTTGTTTGTAATACCTTAATGAACATTTATTTAGCCTGTTGTGAGAAATTATAGCAAAACCACACTTTGTATATATTTAACAGGTACAGTGTACATGTGTAGGATTCATAAAATGTAACAACTATACATACCCCATCTTTAATTGCTGCTTTGGCAAGTGGTTCAACACAGGTTTGACAGGCCAAGTGCTGCCCCCATGTGCATTCAGAGAGAACACTACCCGTACTCCATCTATTGCATTTGCAGCATTTATGCAAATCAAGCTTGATAGGTTCAGCTTTTTCTTCATCTTCCGATTTTCTCTCACATACAGATAGGCTACGATTCATAAGTTCAGCCTTTTTCTTTTTTGATAATGAAAATGATTGATCCCTTACTTCAGATAATGATCGGTGTATCTTAAATTTCTTTCGACGTGATGGAGAAGTTTCAAAATCTGAATCACTATCAGATGAATCATATCTAATCACCTTGTCTCTTTTCTTCGATTTTTTGGTCTTGGATTTAGTTTTCGATGATTTTGAGTGTTTCTTAGGGTGATTGCTTGTGGGACTAGAGTTGTCTGGTTCATCTGTGATTTCAAATGTCACAGCATCTCTATTCTTAATGTTGTTGTTGTCAACTTGGTTTAGTTGGTATGATGTGGATGGCTGGGGTGATTGACGGGAGTATTGAGGGAGGGCATCAAAATCTCCACTAAAACCACACTGGACTCGTCGTTGTGGAGATAATTTCGTCCGAGACCAGCGAAATTTTTTCTCAGATTCCTCAGATGAATGATCGGAGAATGAATTTGATAGACTAGATACTTCACTGCTGAATTTTGAATCAGAATTTTGATCTGGGCTGATTCCCATAAGGTGAGATGATGACTTCGATGCAATTGAATCTGAGTCTGAAAAAGCACACTTTGGGCTAATGACTTGCCAACGATCCTGACATGTTCCTGAGTCTGAATCTGAAAAGCCATTATTTGAGTTGGTTGGTGTAACAGATCCATCATGAGAATCATAATCAGACACTGAAAAATCATCATTTGAATTGTTTGGAGTTAGAGACCTTGCAAGTGTTGAACCATCTGTGCTATAATCATCAGATTGGCCATCGGTTTCAGATTTAAGAGTCACATCGGATAAAGCTGAATCTGACTTAGTGACTGTATTGTCAATGAGTGCATCTTTGAAAGGACCATTGCCATTTCCTGATATGTTTGGAAGTGTCAGTAGTTCAACAGGGGTCCCTGCCTCTTTTCTTCCTTGATTTGTGTTTGTCGTTACAGTAGCTGGTGTGGTCTCTTTCTTAGTGACTGGTGATGGTGTTTTCGAATCAGGTTTTGACGTGTCAGATCTACTACTAGTACTGCCATCTATGTTATCCCCTGCAGTCTGGTTGTCAATATCCAGCATTGCCCACAGATCATGTAATCCATTTGTGTCATGAGCAAGGCCGAGATTAGATGGCAAACCGAGAGATAAATCATCTGTTGATTCGCCATCTTTTGGAGGTTTCTTAATGTCATGTATGAAAACAATGTCTTTGTCATTATCACTTGTTTTGGTAGCAGGAGTCTCAGAAATCACTTCTATTTCATCAGAATCTGAAAACACAAAAAAGATTTTACGATAACTGTGTAACCAGACATTTATAGCAAGCTTTTACAAGGAAGGAGTTCCTTTGAAAAGGTGTATTTTGGTCTTTTTCAGGGGGGTCAAACTTTGCATGTACAAAGATTTTGATTTGAAAAATACTTAACTTTGATCGAACATATTTACCGATAAAAAAATCAAACATATTCATTTGATCAAAACTATGCCTATATTATCAGGAAAATTCTCATCAGAAATCAAAAATTTTGGGAAGGGTCACATGGGTCTCCTGTTTCCCTAACAACAGGCAAAAAAATAATTGTTTAGCCCAATGCAGTGGTTTAAACTGGTTGTGCTTAATACAGACTCAATTATCAATTGAGTCAATGTTATATACTACATGCAATACACAAAAATATAAAAGATTCTAAATGCACCAATAGCGAGCAAACAAACTGATATACTTTAAAAAGAAGGAAATATATGAACACAAAATATAATAATAACCAACATAATACATGGTCATGATGTTCTCCCCTACACACATACATATAATGGGGAGAAAAATGCAAATGTTAAAAGCATAATGAGTTTCTTAGAAATATCAATATTAGTAAGAGATGGTGTTCTAGAATAAATATAACATAGATCCTGAATAAAAGGTTCAAACATCAGTCAAAGGATTTTTTTGTGAAGAGGAAGTTTCTTTCAACTAGCACAATGTTTACTGATTTTTGTGCAACATATTATAGGTTTATATAATTTTAGCCTATCATTGTAGGGTTTTATCATTTTAATATAACATTTTAGGATTTTGTAATTTCCATCCAACATTGAACTATAGTCTTTTTAGATATAATATACAGTACATGTAATATATTAGACTTTAATTGTATAAGAATTTTGAATCTTAACTTGAGCTCAATGAATTGAAAAAATAATAAAGGGTGCACTATATAGTGGAATATTTGATGATGAAAGATGGTCAACTTTTATTTGAAAAATGGCGTGAAATTTGACTACATGTATTTGAGAAATAAAAATCTGACAACTTTTTCAAAAAAAAATCTCCAAAAATCTTTAAAATAACTTTTGAAGTTATGAAAAGTAGAAAATGAACAATCTTCATATGGGGCCTTTAAAGGGAAATCAGAGATTTCAGTGATTAGAGGAAAATTTCTGACATAGGGCGAATTCTGCTACTTAGACAAAGGGCTCTCTTTTATATCAATTGAAATATATAATGAATTCATTAATTAAAATATATAATGAATTCAATAACTGCAGACAACTTCCAAGAACTTTAGAACCATAACATCTATCAATCATGTACCTTCTGCTCTGGCCTTCTGAGAATTGAAACAGGTGTTAGCCACAAGTCACTTATGACATTCATGCAATTTTTCAGAGTGTTCCAAAGTTTCCTATTTCCACTAACAGTCATGATGTATAGTTTAAACTATATAATGTCCAACCAATAGAAGTCAGATAAACATTCAGAAGTAGAGAAATTTCAATATATGTTACCTGTAAAAAGTAACTGCCTTCACCTTTGACCTTTCCATCATCAATTAAGCCATTATGATTTATCTCAGTCTCTTATCTGGCACTGACCTGGAGGAGCTCTACTAATCCATCTGGGCAATACCATTGTACAGGCAGTATTTGTGTTCTATATATATCCTACATATAGTTTCACTGAGAGAGGGATTTCATTACACCATAATATATCACAAGGGAAAAATAGATATCAATTTAAAAGCCATAGTGCCCTTGTGTAGGTATATCTGAGTCTTTAGGATTACTTATATTAACCAGTAAGGATATTTTCCAGTGTTATAAAAGGGGCAGACTTGTAAAATGTTTGTGATTGATAAATGAATCTGATTTGTTAAAAAATTTGGAAAACCAGAGCCCTTTTTATCCCTTGTTATCTGAGTTAAAGGGAGGGTCAATATAATAAATTCGAACATGACTGTATTCACGCCTTCTATAAACTGTAAACAAAGTCAATGCTTCAACTGGGTTATATTCGAGAACAATCACCCAGTTAATAGTGTAATGTGTGACGTCATAACGGTGGGTCGTAGTAATGGCGGACCATGATGAATATTCGAAACAATTTTGTGAGTTTTCGTGTTCGAATCGTAATATAGACCTCAGAGCAGGGTTACTAGTTTCGAATAACACCCAGCTGGTCTCGGCACAAAAGCTTTCGAACCCCTCACTCCCTTCGGTCGTTCGGGGTACAGAAAACGTTTGTGCCGAGACCAGCTGGGTGTTATTCGAAACTAGAAACCCTGCTCTTTGGTCTATATTTCTTAATTATCACCTAAAAATACAACTGTATCATTTACATAGTCAGAATCAATCATTTTCGCACATAGCATCAGCTGTACTACATCAACAGTCTGCAAGCCTATTTGCAGAAACAGTTTAAAAAGGATTTAAAAGGAATATAATTTTAGACCTGAAAATTAAAAAAAGATCTATGGTATAAGCACAACTTTCTTAGGGTTGACATAGATAACTGATTGTCTCTGTATTACATTTGAAGGCTCAGAGAAGTAGATCAAAATAGATGTATGACTCAAAACACACTTGCCATTTTGTCTTCAATAAGCAATTATGACTTGTATAGCTATAGTTCACCTGTATTAACATCCTGGTTGTAGCTTATCATATTAACTTTAGAGTTTGATTATAAGAATGGGATATAGCAACAACCATTTTTATAAGGAGGCAATTGTATGAAATAACAAGGCAATAACATGCAAGATATCACCACCTGCCATTTGTTAGTTGTTGCAGATGCCTACCACTGAACAACCACAGAATGCTGAACACCAACACTGAATGCCAAACACCAACCACTGAACACCATGAACACCAAAAGGTTGGTGACAATAACTAAACAATATGTAAAAAGACTTTTATGAAAATAATATGTCATATCATTAACTGTTAAAGAATTCAAAGTCTAGGATGGTAGAACTCTCCTTAATTTTTGTACCATTGAGATGCATGTAAATAAATTGACAAAATTCGAATTCGAATTTCTCAATTGCAGCCTATTGATTTTCAAAGAATTTCAGAGATATACAGCAAAGCAGCTCACCTCCTCACCTCCATGTCAAAAAAATTTCAACAAAAATATACAACAAAAATCAAAAGTTCTACTCTCTTACATAATACGAGTACCAAAACGTCACCATATTTATGTACATTGACCAATTCACCACTACCATGGTCATCCATCCGCAAAAAATAATCCCAAATATTTTACAGTTCATTGTTATGATCACATGTTTCCCAGTTATTCTGGGCATTATATGCCAGCAAATGAGAGTATTCTATCCAAAGATGGTGCTGTAGTATACCATTGAAGTCCCCAAACAGGTATCTAATAGAACTACTTTCCTCACACCACGAGATAAACAAACCGAGTAAGGATAGTACACTCGATACAAGACATCAGTGGATTAAATTATCTACAGTTCATTGAGTCATATACTTAAATTACTATTTTCACGCATAGCATCAGATTTTGTACAGTATCAATTTACAAGGAAATTTTTTTGCAAGGGTCTCAAGGTTAAATGATAAAAACTAGGTCAACACTAACCATTTTACCTGCATAAGCACCTGCTCTTTTGTTCCTCATATACGTTTTCACTCAACTGACAACTTGAAATTATGAAATTGATGAGAGTTATCAATTTCACTGAATCTAAAAATAACCATGCTTGGTTTTACATGTAATTTCAAGAATGCAGACTATTTTAATACTGCTTGGCTAGAATCAAAAGTCATAGTTTGAGGGGCATTTGCATACCAGATCCAAAAATTTGGGTCCGTTGCCATTCCAAATCTCAAATCAAAAAAGGTACCCCATGAGTGCTGAGGATCCCCGTCAAGGTTTATGTACAGTGAGCCCTCCAGGTTTCAAACTCACTAGCTACAGGTATATGTGATTCATTGTTTCATCCATTAGCTGATCATGATAACTGGCAGTTTGAATATATTCAGATCAGAGATCATGTTTTTATCAATAATACGTCACAAACTTATGTTTTGTAGCCTGATGGAACATGGTCTTTGCATAAGAATGATCCAGGGTTATTATACTAGATCTTTATCATAAGCCCCGGGAACATGTATAACATAGCGAGTCGACATCTGTATAAGAAGAAGTAGAAATACAGATGTCGACTCGCTATTTTATACATGTTCCCGGGGCCTTTGATCTTTATCTTTAGCGCAACAAATATCAAACAACCTATAACGTATATTTCAAAAGAATCTGACTTTTCACGTCAATGAATTTTAGCTGCAGAGCAATGCTTCGTCAGCATTTTTATGAGCTCTAGATTCTTCAAAACCAATGGACCACCAAGTCTATTTGGGTGGATCTATAAAAAGTATATATTCTTGCTTACATATACACATAATATATAATAGTATATATGTCTACAGCAGCTACAGATCACTAACATAACACAGGTTACAGTATCCCAGAATTCAACTTCTTGAAAACTCCAGACAAAATATTTTGCTCTTTTCCAAGTTTAGACCTCATTTTCGATATGCATCTGTTGGTTTTGAGCTACGATTGTGAAATATGCTTAAAATACATACCTTCTGAATCTATTTCAATAACATCTATCTCCGTTTTCTTATCCATTGTTGGTTTAATTCATTACGAAACGGACTGACGTTCCTTCGGTGATATATTTGTTATGAAGAAAAATGAGACTGGTTAGAAAATCTGACGTCACGAACCGGAAATGGGCAGAATGGATCAACTGGTAGGATTATTTCTTATTTTTCCTCTTTATCGCCATAAATGAAGATGACATCAAAAATGCATAATGCTAAAATGATGTTAGTATATTGATGAAGATGTATAGGCTAACAGTGAGAACGAAATAAGTCCCAATTCTGCAAAAACACTTATCTCTAGATCCAAATTTATAAGGAATTCCTGATGTCTGAATGATTTCACATTTTGCCAGATGACAGGTCATAATGGCATACCCAGAATTCATGTTTCAAAGTCAACCAGACATGTACGTCACTTTTAAGTAAATATAAAGAATGGACTTTGATTGGTGCATAATTTTGAGTATATACGTTGTAGAAGATGTGTAACAATCACAATCAGAGACAAACAACATATTCTCTGACTTCTGTTGTTGCATTTTGTGATTCATGATGATATGACAGAGAATAATAAATTAATTTTGACTAGTTTCATAGTGTAAAACTAGCCTATTGATCTGTCTGGGCTTCAAATCAAATCCCAGAGACACCGATTTACCACATACATGTACAGGTACATGTACATGTACATGTACACGTACACTGTACAGGTACTGTAATATCATTCCCTCTTGCTCTGTAGTTTAGACAATACATGATAAATAAATACCTGATGGAGCTCATGATATAATTGGTGAAATAGATAAATTTGAGGTTCAGTACTCCATAGTGTTACTACTGTACATTTGGAATTTAATAAATTAAATTATCTTTTAAATACAAGCACATTTTTTAATTAAAACTTACTTCCTGCGAAAGCTATTTGGATTTTGATATAATAGCTTTCCCACGGAGCATTTGGACAGCTGAATGATTGTGACCTTTGAAATCGAATTAAGTCGATCCGCGGCTTACTTTTGGTCTCTAACTGTGTCTTACATCAGTATCATCAATCCGTGTAAGTATTAGAGCACTGAAATACTTCTTTTTCGATCAAGACT